CCTTTGTTGATTCAACCAAAGTTGTTCTTATCTTAACTCAGGGTGAATCCAGCTTGATGCAGCAGATGTAAAAGAAAAGATAATAAGAATATAATACATTGTAAATTCAAATTGGATGTGTGTATTACATGTTTTAACTAAATGAATAGAAGATGGACGGGACGTTCATTCACATGCTATAAGTTATATAAGTTGTTCTGTTTTGTTGATCGGAGTGGGTTCGTTGTCCATGTGAATCTAGATAAACTGGGACGTTTCTGACCTGAACCCTGGAATGAAGCAAAGGCCTCATATTTTGTGTTAAACCTCAGGAGAGACAGCGAGATCCTTCTTGTGGCACTGGCACCTCTGTGGCACTCTGTGGCACTCAGCGGCACTCTCTGTGGCACTCCGCGGCACTCAGCGGCAGTCTGTGGCACTCCGCCGCACTCTCTGTGGCACTTCAGCGGCAGTCTGTGGCACTCTGCGGCACTCAGCGGCAGTCTGTGGCACTCAGCGGCACTCTCTGTGGCACTTCAGCGGCACTCAGCGGCACTCTCTGTGGCACTCCGCGGCACTTCAGCGGCAAGCGTCAGCTGTGGCAGGCGAGCAGTACTAGTTCGGCACCCGTCAAGAAGCTGCGGAGCTGAGGGGGCGGAGCCACATTTCCTGAGACATTTCCTGAGAACACACATTGTTGTTACAACAGGTCAGCTTCCGTAAATCAGTTTTATGATTTTAGTTGAGTCACCGGAGCCACCCGTTCTCTGTATGCATCCTTAGAGTAATTATGTTGTACTTTTTTGTTTCTCATTCATTTTATTTAAATATGATTTTGCTGGTTTTGCAACAAAAGGGAACATAATACACTCTTTCCAAATTATTACTTTTACAGTCATTTACAACAATCGGCTAAAATAATGAAAATAAATCATCCGTTTTATTATCATTTAAAAGTATATATATAAAAAAATTGCAGGGCGTCCTGCAGCAGTCTGTGCAACGGGGAGAATCAAGTCCTGGCTGACCATAAGGGGGCCACCAGCAGAAGTCTGTGGCCCTGTTGAAGCAGTCTCAGAAGCATTGGTAAGATCAGAGGAAGTGGTGGAAAGGCATAAAGAAGACCCTCTGGCCATGTACGAGTCAAGCCATCCTGACCCAGAGGACTGGTCCTCTCAGAATCAGAACTGTTTAATACCAAGTACGTTATACATTACAAGGAATTTGACTGTAGGTGCAGAACAATAAACAGTGTAATCGTATGAGACATAATTTTAAAGTCTGGTCCGACCAGGGGCCGCCTAAGTCAGAAGCGCACGGGACACCTGTGACGACCCTTTCTGACCTACTGACTCCGTATGCCACTGCTAGTTTACGCTCCTCTCTAATTTGCTTGGTTGTGTGCATCTCACTCTTGTCATCATGGCCTTGTGGCCCCGTTTGTGACAAGCAGGGGCTCCTCCATCCAAATTGGATTTGCTTGAGGGTGTCATTTGGTACCGAGTAACAATGGTTGTGTGTGTTTGGGGGATGCATTTCTGGGCAGCAGAGGTCGGTCCTGCAGCCAGCGTGTGTTTACGCGAGTTGGCAGGTGTGAACTAGCAGCAGTGAGTACATGGTCCTCTAGTGCAGTGTTTTAAACCTTTTGAGCCACTGTCCATTGTTTACATTTAAAAGATGAGGGCTGCATCAGCTCGCATCAACCAAAAAAGTTAGAAAAGATGGGCTCAGACGTCGGGGTCGTCTGGCAGCTCCTGCAGCACCCGGCCGGTCTGGGAGAACAGTAGTTGACCCCTATCAACTCCCCTGTGGCAGCACAGAACATAAAACCAAATTATGAACACAGTCAAACATACGGGCACCTTTCTGGATTTCTCTCCCTCCCTCAGCAGTTACCTGTGTACTCCCGTACCCGGGTGCAACTGTCAACCAGCCTCCTCCCGTACAGCCTTTGGGCCAGCTGGTTGATAGCGTCCAGGTCCTGGCTGTCCCCCCTCTCCACCGAGGCACGTTACTTTAAACTTCTATATTCTCTAAACCAGCAGCTTTATTTATACTAGTGAAGATAACTATAAACACGTCTCCATTGTTAAGATATGAACCAACTCAAACTTCACTTCATATTTCTTCAGCTCAGAGGAGACATTGAACTACAGACACTCGTCTAATGACATCATCATCATCATCATCATCATCTGAAAGATAGAAACGTCAACTAGTGTTAAACAACCGCAGAACTGGACGTTCATGACTGGATGTCCCCAAAGCTGCATTTCAGCTCGCTGTATGAAGTTTGGTTTCTATATGAAACATGATGGGACCGCAGTCCAGACCCAGACACTGTTGCATCCGGACCTAAAACCGATAGATAATTGAAAATTATTAAATTTTTGATGGAGAGCTTCTATTTTAGCTTTTCCAGCCTTTACGGTACTCGTTCAGGGGTCCAGGAAACACACCGACCGATTACATACGTTGTTAATGACATCACGTGATGCTGCTCAGCCAATCAAATATGTGTATTCTGAAAAACGTACAGACTCCGGTGAGATTTACCCACATTATATATTTGGAATGACAGTCAGTTGGTGACTACATACAGACGTTAATACAACGGTTGGCTACTTTGAAAATCTCTCTAAATGCACCTCGTTGAACATTAATAGAATAACCCTGGTCTAGATGTATAAATGTTGGTAACCATGTGTATCACATGTAGACTTAAAAAATAGTCTCCTGAGGCTATGCTCGAAACCCAACCTGAAGTTGGCCATTTTGAATTTTGTATGAATTTCCTCCTCCATCCTCCTCCTCCCTCCTCCTCTCCTCCAGCCAGTCCTCCACACTCCTGCCCCCTGAGGAGCTTTGACAGAAGTGGAACATGGTTCTGGACTTCTTGTTGAAGAAGCGGCTGTGACCAAAGTGTTTGGTCTTCGGCTGACTACAGAGGCTGCAGACGCAGGTGAAGGGCGCCTTTATTTTGAAGTCCTGACCCCGTCTCTCTGCCTCCTGCCTCTTCTTGTCCAGCTGTCTCCGCTTCCACAGCATCGTCTTTGGTATCTGAGGAGGTGGAGTGGGCCTGCTGGCCTCCACTGTGGGGAGAGGTGGTTGAGGAGCAGCATTTGCAGGTTCAGCCTCAGTGGTGGGACCAACAGCAACTGGTAGGTCTGGGGCCTGGGAGGGGCCCGGCTGGTCCAGGGGAGGCCTCTCTCTGGTGGGCGGCACGGGGTCTGGTGGCACATGGGCCTGGAGGACGTAACCCTCCTGGGTCGCCTTCCTCCAGTTGAACCTGGAGTTCATACAGGTTTTTAAGATTAAAATCCAAGCATCTTGAAGACATAACTGTTACACTTTCAGTACTTTGTACCAGCGCTGTAAAGGACTTCTTAATTTAGTTTTGATGCTCACCACTGTATGAGCATCCTCTGGTTTATATCAAAGAGAAGCAGCTTGGCTCGGAGGGTTGGATTTCCCAGCACGCCGTCTCTGATGGTCCAGTAGCTCCTGAGGATCAGAGACCAGCGGCTGATCCGAGCTCCTGCCAGAGAGCGGCTCTGATGATGGATCCTACACAGCAGGATGCAGATAGCCTCCACCAGCCTGCTGGCGTCAGGCCTCGTGGAGGGGACACTGAACCTCCCCTGGGTGAGCTGGTCCCTGTAATGTGGGGGATAGTTAACAGGGCCCTTGTCTCCCTTGGGGAGTTTCTCCCACAAGGCCAAGATCTGTGCCTCACGCACCACTGTGACTCGGCCCGCCACCCGCAGCTCCACCAGACACTCGGCCAGGTTCAGGACATGCTGGTACCCCGGGGAGCCATCAGGGTCCACGCACTCCTACAGAGGGGAGATGAAAACAGTCCTTCATTCGTCATGTGGCTTTGAGGACGGAGGAGACGGAGCTGATGTAGAAAGGTGAAATGATCACTTACCTGCTGGGCGGCGTCCTGGAGGTTGGCTGGCTCGGACTTCGCAGGCTGTCGGGGCCTTGAGGTGTCTGACAGGAACTCTGTATCAAACAGCAATTCCTGAAAGCCCTCATCAACCCCTTCCTCCTGCTCCACGAAGTCCTCCTCCTCCTCCTCCTCCGGGACGTCGGGGTCGTCGGGGTCGTCGGGGTCGTCTGGCAGCTCCTGCAGCACCCGGCCGGTCTGGGAGAATAGGTAGTTGACCCCTATCAACTCCCCTGTGGCAGCACAGAACATAAAACCAAATTATGAACACAGTCAAACATACGGGCACCTTTCTGGATTTCTCTCCCTCCCTCAGCAGTTACCTGTGTACTCCCGTACCCGGGTGCAACTGTCAACCAGCCTCCTCCCGTACAGGCTTTGGGCCAGCTGGTTGATAGTGTCCAGGTCCTGGCTGTCCCCCCTCTCCACCGAGGCACGCCTGTGGTCCTCGTTCCACCTCGTCAGGCCCTCCAGCAGGTAGAGCTGGATGTTCATGGCACTGGCACTGGTGCCTGGAACATTACACAGAGAGGAGTGAGGCAAGAAGCAACGGACTCGCAGTGAAGATTAACTTGTGTGTTCAGGCTTCAGACACTTACCAGGGATGAACCTGTTAAGGTGGAGATGGAATGACTCCAAGGAGGTGGAGCCATGGGAACAACGGTACACCGGCAGGGTGACCCCTCCCCTGGTCAGCTGGCCCGTCCTGGTGTACAGCTGCAGCCCCGGTGGATCCTGGATGCACTGGAGGTGGCGGCGCTGGGTGCTCCAGATGCCCTCCACCCTCTCCTGGTCCTGCAGCAGGATAGCCATGCTGTCTCTGGCCGACTGGAAGTGGTCCAGGGTCTCCTCAATGAGACGCCCGGTCTCCTGTGCCCCACGCGTGTGGCGGCGACAGTGCCGAGCCATCTCCTCGGGGGAGACCCTGCTCCAAGCCCCGGGCCCCTCTGCCTCCTTGGCTCTCTTCAGCAGGGCGATGTCCTCCTGGTCCCAGGTGAAGATGGAGTCGGAGAGGCGTTGCATAAAGTGGGCATAGAGGGGGTGGCTTTCGGTGGTGACCATCGCTGCCAATCTCCTCATAAAATGCCCTATGTCCAGCCTGACCACTAGCTGGGTCCACTCTGGGAACAGAGCGGTAGCTGCTGAACCCCCAGTGATTGAGCAGCAGTCCCTGTCCACGTAGAGGACCAGAGGTGGCTCCTCCTTAGCCTGCTGGTACCGTCTGACCAGCCCGGAGGTCATCTGCTGCAGGCCGTAGCCCTCGGCTGCAGTGAGGACCGACATGAGCACCTGTCCGTGCTCGTTCCCCACGTTGGTCACCCACTGGATCGTCCCCGCAGCGTGACCGGACAGCTTCCTGGTGATCTACACAATCAGAATCACAATTACTGTATTGATCCCTGTGGGGAAACCGGGAATCTATTCTAAAATAGAAACATATAAGACCACGTGAAAGCTAAATACAATGTAAAAATTTCTAAACATCCTACCTTCTTGGTGGAGTCCATTTTTAGGACGGAGCCAAAGACAGAGGTCACGTTGGCTCTCATCTCCTCCAGACGGGTGAAGCTGTCGGTGGCGAAGGCGGAGAGGATCCACTGCCTGGTGGGGACCAGGTCCATCTCTGGCAGGTCTGGAGGAGGAGGAAGAGTCACACCCGGCATCATGGACTTCTTGTAAGTTGACATGAAGCGGATGCAACTGTTCATCCAGGCCGCCGTGTGCTGCTCCACCAGGCAGGAGCGCAGACGGTCGGCATTGCTGCCGAGCGACCGTCCCCTCATCTGCACCAGGACCCTCTTATCACACGACAGCCTGCAGAGCAGATACAGAAAGATAATGACAAAGAACTGGTCAGTTAAACTCTCAGGCTCCTCCCTCCTCACCCCAGAGTTCTCCTTCAAAGTTAGTCTTTGATGTACCTGTAGGTGAGCACTGCTGGGAACATCCTCCTGTACTCCTCATCCAGCTGGGACAGAATGCTCCTCGACCACGATGCCAACTTCTTCCCACAGTGGCGACACTCGAGGTACTCCGTGCCCATAAAATACCATCCGTCGCTGTACAAGACCTTGCGAACGGTCTTGTACAGGCCACATCCAGTCATTCTATGGGCACAGACAGGGCAGCTGATGGTGCAGTGCCACATCCTTTGGGGCACCCAGAGGAAGAACGGCCGCTGGAAGAAGGCATCGAAGGAGGCCGGTGGCTGGTAGTACAGTCGGTCGGGTCCAGGAGGATAGTTCCAGGACTGCAGTTCTGTGTTTAGGGTGGGCTTCCCACTCTGGTCCCTGGTGAACAGAGCCCGGCTCACCCACCCATGCTGCACCCTGGGCAGCGTGCTCCTCCAGCTCTCTGGGAGAGGAACCTGGAACACACAGACAATTATAGAAACAACCGTCGGCAAAAAGATTACAACTTGCAATATCACATCTGCAATATGTGTGTTTAGATTTGAATCAGAGTACTGACATCAGCTGGGAGAGGGCCAGATGCTGGAGCAGGGACCAGTGGTTCACCAGGAGCTACAGACATGATGGTAAAAGGAAAAACAACTAATTTACTCCCATGCTTTTCTTACTGGATCCTGTTAAGACAAGTTAACAGGAAATAAAAAAACCCGGTCACATTGTATGACATTTATTACATGAAATGTGATTCTGCTGTCATCACCTGAAGAAATGGACGGCCCCGAGGAAGAGCATGCCCTGGGGGAGGAGGAGGTTGGTGGAGCAGACGGTGAGGAGGCTGCTTTCTCCTTCTGGTCCCTCCCCATCACGTACCTCTTCAGGTGGTCCATGCGTGAACCTGTGGACTGCAAGCGGGCTCTCTTGAGCCACATCCTGTAGCTGTGGAGGGATGAAGCCACATTAGATGAAAACAGGAAAACGCCTTACAGTGACGTTTTGATTAAGACTCGCTCTGTGACTTACCTCTGCACTACAGGATTTGCAGACTCGTAGAACTCCCGGTATGAGAGTCCAGCATGCTCCCCAAATCCCACCCGGCTGCTGTCCAGCGCTCCCTCAGAGGAGGGGCTGTCAGACACCCTCCTCTGCTGGACAGCAGACGTCATGCAGGGAAACAGCCTGGCGTACCGGGACAGAGCGTCCTTGTTCTGCTTGATGGGGCCGGTGTCGAGGTCTCCTGACTCACGCTCCTGATGATGAGACGCCAGGACCACGATGAGGTATCCCACATCGTTGCTAAGAAGCCAGTGGAAGGTCTGCCCTCTGTACTTTCCAAACTGAATCTCATGGCGGCTGAGAACCAGTTTGGTGTCACCGCAGTCCCCCCCACCAGCAACGACCCGGTCCCTGGCATCCTGCATTGTGGATGCAGGGTTCTTCGGCCGGTGGGATCGGACTCCCTCCTGCTGACGGCGAAAGGCATCTGCCTCGGGAGAAGCTTTCAGGATCAGATCATTTGGCATGGAGCTAACCCTCAGACTTGGTACGTAGTCCATCTATTCATGAAAGAGAGACAGTAGGAAGACCCGATGAGCCCAGTGATATCACAGTACTAGATATGTAGTACCAATTTATAATCTAGTATTCTGATGGCATTAGGAGATCATAACATAATAATAACAATCACAACCACACAGTTGGAAATGAGAGTCAGAATGCATAATAACACAGTCATTACTGCTGCACAGAATAACTGATCTTCTGTTTCCCAGCGAGCATGTTTCAGGTGAAAATACTTTTTTCACAGGCTATTTGAAGACGTTGATTGAACTCACTTTTAAACATCTTTTCACCAGAAGGATGCTTACTGGGATATCACACCGTATGATACTGTATATCGTTTGTATGTTGCTGTATGCCAAACAACGTTTTGTTTGTACATCACTTTGTTTTACTTACTTCCTCCTCATTTTAACTCACTTTCTGCCGTGTCTTTAAATGTGAAAAGTCCTGAAAACTCATTTTATAACGTTATGTTAACAGAACATAAAGACATGTTTACGTTTACTGTGGGTCCATGATGCAGTACGCTACAAGCTAACATGCTAACACTACAAACCAGGGGCGTCGTTGGGCTGAAGCCCCCCTAAAAAGGTTCTTCAGCCCCCCCAAATAAAAATTAAAAAAATAAATATATATATATATATATATATTATATATTTTGGTGATGTCATTAAATTAAACTAGTGTTTCTCACATGGACAAGTTATTTATAACTCTAACATGCTACATATGTGTGTGCGTTCTGGTTTGTATGTTTTCTCCCCCTTCAAATTACAATCCAACAGCCTATCATCATACTGAACGATATAAAGTTGACACTGTCAGGTCCATTCTCCATCCATTGTGTGCGGTCCCTTTAAGAATTAGGATTTGGGAGTGGCGCGGATATGAAAGCTAGTTTATCCGTCTTTCCTTTACAAGCAGGAAAATAATTTCTCTCTTTATTTGAGAAAAGTTCATATTTGTGTTGTCAAATTTCACTATGACCCTGAAATTCTGTCTCTTGTGTTATCATATACTGAATGCAAGCAAAACTACAGAGCAAAATCACACTCTTTCTGATTGAACCAATCTATGAACTGTCTGAAACAATGGATATCCACGACCCCAAATGGGCCCCAAAAAAAATTGAGCAAACATGCCACTCACCTGGGGGCTAAGCCCCCCCTTTCTTTGAATCCTAGAAACGCCCCTGCTACAAACTAACATGCTAACGCTACAAGCTAACGTCCAGAGTCTCTGGCCGGTGCTGCCCTCAAAGCACGCGAAGCAGTCCGAGTTCCTGCTCATGCGTGTTCCAGCAGTAAACACAGGTGTGTTACATGAACTACAGACAGAATGTTCTCAGTACGATGTTCTGGAGCTTCTTGTTGGCAGCACACAGTCTATAAATCCACATGTATCACGTTGTATATGAAACATTAACTGCGTTTAAATCACGTCTTCATGTAGACCACATTTCTTTCACCAGTGTAATATGACTTTGTAATATACATCCACAGTGACCAACACCATCTACATTTATAAACTAAGTGGTGTTTAGTGACACATTGCTGTTGTAACCGCATTTTATCCGGTTTAAAAGACGTTCAGACCGAATATGAAGTGGTTTTCAACCAGAAATCAAGCGTGAATCCCGGTTGGCGCTCACTGGGTGCTGTAGATCTACTATGAGTGGATTATACATCGTGTTGTGAGACACAGCATACATCTAAATGAATGTATTATGGTATAAGATGGTCGCTGGCATCACTGTGTAACTCATTCAAACAGTTAAAGTGTTTCTGCTCACCGCTGGATGTGTTTGTGTCTCTCAGTCTTCATCAGGAAGTACTTGAAGAGGACTTCCACGGTCTGCTAAATCGCCTCGAAGCAGCCAATCACAGAAGTACTGGAAGGTAATGTAACGGAGAACCGGCTGAGGGCGGGTTTAGCTACGTAGATCCTCCCCCTGTATCAAACCAATCAGCAAGTAGAACGGTGAAGTGGGACGTCCAATTGGAGCTGCAGAGACACCCGGGGCTGAATAGGAAACAACGGGAAGGCGGGACTTTCTCTCTGGGAGTAAGTGAGACCAGTGAGACCTGAAGACCAGTAATGATCATTAGGATTACCAGTAGTCAGTAACTGCTATTTGTTGGAGTGGTTTTCTGAAATCCCAGCCTTCTTTTCAAAGATGTATTTATTATCTTTATTTATTTATTTTACAGATGTTACTGTCCCGTCATTTAGATGTTTTAGGTCTTCCTTATGAGAGAAAGCATATGGACAATGTGTAATAAAAACTGTATCAATGACCAGCTAAGGCAGTGTGCCTGCAAAAGACAGAACCCACCCGTCTGAGAAGAGATACTTCAGAGCAGCTTCTTTCCTCTGGCTGACTCCTGAACTCATGCACATGTGATAGAGGCAGCTTTTCTGTGTGCCAGTTTTCTTATGTAGCAAAATGGAAAAACTCGTCGTGCGCTCCCCTGTAGTGCAATGGCAGTAAATTAAACTTGTAACCTTGACTGTAAATGCCCACCCGATTAACTTCAATAGACTATGTGTCAAACTAAAATCTCAATTCTGTCACGTAAAAATACTTTAAAAACTGCAAAATGCAATAATGCAAAGCCATGCTCTAAATCTGAACGTCTTCAAATAGTCGGTGAAAGAACTTTCACTTGTTTTGAGCCACTTTTAACATCACTGTATTTGAAACGCCGTTTAAACCTAAAATGCTCTCACTAAATATGCAGCAAACATATAGTCATACGAACGCATCTAGATTTTCAGACAAATTGATAGATGAGGTAACCATTGTAGCTGGTTGAAGAGAGGTACAAGACAGCCGGATGGAATAGCATTGTGTACTAGGAATCAAGGATGAACACCGGTCGGCGCTCACTGGGCTTCCTAGAGGTTCTTGGGTTGCTGGGTAGAGGAGTTCTTCTCCGAATGCAAATTGCTGATCATGCTGTCATGTCTTAAATCTTACTTTCCGAAGATGTACATTTGCAGTTGAGTAAATAAATCCAGACCCTTTCTTTGTCTACTTTCATTGTATCATGTACATGTGTGTGTAAACATAGGGCTGTTATTGTTAGTGTGAGCGATGACGGAGCGGTCACATGACTCGCTCACTCCTGCCGGCTGCTCAGCGCACTGCTCGATGCTCAGGCTCGGATGTAGAAGCTGACAGGCTGACCTCGCTTCATGAGTTTTTGTAGTTTAGGTGGATCACAGTGTCACCAAACGAGAGACGGACAGCACAGCTCGGAAAGATGCTTTGGTTTGAGGGCTCCATTCCTGATGCCATTAACTTAGCTAAACAGCGGGGCTCAGTCTTCGTCGTTGTCATTACAGGTATGTGTGTCGATTAGCGAGCTAGCTAGCTCTAGCCTCCATAGGTGACGAGTAATTAAACAAAACAGCTACAGACAGCTAGCCAGCTAGCCGCGGTTGTTGTCGTACTAACCATTGACCAGATAGCATAGCTGCCCAACACACGGTACGTGTCGCTATGCATGTTTGAGTAGGATGGCCCACGAGGACAGAAGCAGTAACCTAAATATGTACTAAATATGATGTGTTAACGATGACGTTATATGTTCGCCTGTAGTGTTGCTGGCCTATGGGACGCTAACGTCATGCTAACGTCATGCTAACGTCTAACAGCCTGACCAGATGAACTGAACGCTAGCTAGAGGACGGGCAGTGGGTGATTTTACAAACTGTTTATTGATAGTCGGACGGGTAACGTTAACCTGTATCCTAGCCAGGTCGACTAATACGTCGCCAGTATGAGTTGGGTCATTGTTGCGTCTTAGGCACCAGTGTGAGCAGTGACGGAGTTAGTTAGCTCTTTCACCATTGCAGCTTTAATGTAGTGTCCCTAACCTCTCCTAACACCGCGGTGAATGTGCTGGCAGTGAGCTGTAACTGAACCACTCTGCTGTCACTGCCCCTCTCCTCAGACCAAGACGACCAGTCCGCACAGCTGATCTCCAGCTGGGAGGATGACACGGTGTCGGAAGAAGCAGAGAACTGTTGTGTGGCGATCCAAGTCGATGCCAAGAGGTACTGACTTGTTCATTGTACAGTGTACTGCATTTTAGTTTACCGTCTTCAAAATATACCCATCAGTCTCCCGTAAGCAAATATGATGCCCCACAGCTCTAAGTGCCTGTGACCTGAACAACCCTATCTCCTGGGGAAACTTGTCCAAGTAATAATAATAATAATAAGTAGTTTAGCAGTTGGCCTTGGCTTACTTCAGTGTACTGAAGTAAGCCAAGGCCAACTGGCCTGTTTTGAAATTCAATTTGAAAAATGATCAGTCTCAAAAGTTGTTAGATGAACTTAAATTGGAAATCTTAAGTAACATTTTACATAATTAAATTTTCCCTTAAAAAAAATGAAATGTTATGTTAATACGAACTTCATTAGGTATAAATATTTTGGGAACACACCAATAGTCAACCCTACAATATCATTGCAATGTCGATATCAAGGTATTTTGTCAAATATTTAGTGATATTTGATTTTCTCCATATTGCCCAGTCCTAGTTGCTCTCCGAGTTTGGGAAGCACAGAGAAGACGTTTACTGATGATGTCTCCTCTGATCAACAGCTGTCTCCTCTGAGCTCACACACGGCTCTCTCTCTGTCCCTGCTCGCCCACTCACTCGCTACATTCATCGTTTTATAGCCAAGTAGCACTTACATGGAATTTGTCTTGGTGAATTGCTGCATAGCAATAAACATGGTGCCAAAGTCTAAACACATAATATACATTAGGTTATTTTAGCTCGCATCTTTTTAAAAGGAGCAGGTCTTCCCCGTATTAACGGCCTGAGGAAGTTAGTGAGCGCTGCTGACTAATCAAAGCTACACACCATCAATGGAGCAGTAACAGACCAGCATGCATGTAAACATGGCCTGCTTAGCTACATAACCACACTCAGTTTCACTACAGACAACATGGAAAAAACTCCAACCTGTGGACCTACAATCAAAGCCAGCCACAGTAGCAGCGCAGCAGTGTTATTCTGAATCCTACTGCTCTTCTTGGCAAGACTATGGAGCCAAATCCAGGCCAATAGTTTTGATCATTTGAAAGAACTCTTAGGTGGATCACAGTGTCACCAAACGAGAGACGGACAGCACAGCTCGGAAAGATGCTTTGGTTTGAGGGCTCCATTCCTGATGCCATTAACTTAGCTAAACAGCGGGGCTCAGTCTTTGTCGTTGTACTTACAGGTATGTGTGTTTTTTAATACACCGTATTCACATGAATGCAGTGAAAAAGAACCTGCGAGACTCTGAGCACCAGCTATCCTGAGGTAAACTTCGGAGGGAACCAGCTGCTAGATGGTTCGATTAGTCTTTCGCCCCTATACCCAGGTCGGACGACCGATTTGCACGTCAGGACCGCTACGGTCCTCCACCAGAGTTTCCTCTGGCTTCGCCCTGCCCAGGCATAGTTCACCATCTTTCGGGTCCTATCGCACACACTCACGCTCCACCCCGACGGTGCAGACGAGACGGGCCGGTGGTGTGCCCGACCCCGCGGGGCCTGGATCCCGCTTAGTAATATGCTTACATTTAGCTGATTGTCTAATCTGAGGTCATAGTCAAATGGCTTTTTGTGTGTGGCTCCCCAAGTGGGGGGGGGGGGCTCACGTTCTCAGGATCGGGTACCCCGCTGCGGTGGAGGGTCCCGGCAAAAACCCACCCAACCCCCTCAGAACCCCGCTAGAGCATCCCGTCTGACTTACGCACGTGTAACATGGTCAGCACGGAGATGAGGTGTCCATCAGCAGCCGCACCCGACTCATGTGGGCCCGACGGGGCCCCCACCCCGTCCCCGTGAGTGCGAAACGATATTAAAGCGCGGTTGTTGAACGGCACTATCTGGCATAGTGTATTGTTCTTATACTGCGATTCGTGCCAAGTACGGTCCAGAACAGTTTGCTAAACAGAACTTTGTCACTCGTCAATCTTTTTTTCTTCCAATTACGTGAATATGGTGTATAGAAAGTATTGAGTCATAATTCTCACTGTAGGCCTGAAGGCAACGTGGTTGAGGAAGTTCCTCAGCCTTCTCTGTTATGCTGTCTGCTGCCAAGAATAGCAGTGGGATTCATAAATACACAGCTCAGTATGCTAATGTGAACAGGAAAACAGTCTGTTAAATAAACAGAAGCAGATAGATAGCGAAGAAATCCAAATGGCGGACAGTGACAGCTTCAGGCTCACCTAGTGGAGGACGTTCTACCAGGCGGCTTAGTTTACACAGGTTTTCTGATAGATGGAGCCGGACAGAATGAGAGAGAGGGTGTCTGTAGATACACCAGAGACACACGTTTGTCTTTTAAAAACCATGAAAAAGTACATTTAGCATAATATGTGATCTTTAAGTTCCCTGATATTTGTTCTTTCAAAGGTAAATGAGTCTGTGCACCCTAGAATGCCTCTCTGTTTTACACTTCACATCTCTGCCATTCTGAACTCACAACAGACTTCTGTCATTGCCAGTAAAATCATTTTTACGATTTATCACAACAGCTACTTGTTTAGCACAATCAATTAGACAGGTGTGTAAAGTGAATAGTTTAACATTAAAGGATGTGTTGATGTGTATTGAGATCCAACATGTGATGCTGCAACATTTCTTCCACAGCGAGCCGTGTGTGCAGTTCTCTCAGATCTGTATCCTTTTTGTCGTCCGAAATGTTTACAATTTCTTCTTTAGATGAATTAGTGTGGAGCTACTTTTACTGACTAATCTCAGAGGAAAGCTAATAGTGGCATTACCCATTACATTGCTGTATTCATTGGACCGATAACTACTCTTGACCTAAGCGACTACGTCTTACAGAGTTCAGAGCAGTGCTGTTGCATGTTTTAGACCATGAACCTCTTTCAGGCTGAATTACACAGGAAATAGTTATAAGAGAATGCATGAGACTAGATTCATCCAATAGATGAAATACCTCCACCATCAACAACAACGTGACATTAGAGGATAGACGTCTGAGTAAACGTGATACTAGACATTTACTGACTTTACTGTGCTGCACTGTTTCCCTACTGTACTCTTTACTGTGCCCTAATGTGTTTCTTTACTTTACTCTATTGGGTTTCATCACTGTGTTTTATTACTGTTTGTTGAGGCCATGTCCACACTACTCCATTTCCCTTTGAAAACACATATCTTTTGCTACGTTCACACTGAGCGTCCACACTAGGCCGGAGTTTTAGAACACCGAAAATAGATACGTTTAAAAAACGCTCCTGCGGACGGATACGTTTGAAAACTCCGGGGTTACCTCGTAGTGTAGACGCTTGTAAACACATAAGTTTGGAAACAATCTACTTGGTTGGTTCTTAGCAGTCACGACGTGTCCTTCCCTGATTGGTCACATCCCTATCACGTGACCCTTTCCCTGAAAATCACAAACGACAGCATTGATTACCGATTGACTACCAGGTTAATTCAACATGGACATCTGATTACAGGTGTTGCTGACCTTGTTGTCTTTACCAGCAGCTGTTGTTCAGTTAAAGTCTGCATTATTACGGAGGAAGCAGCTGTTAGTGGAGCGATTAGTGAGCAGCGTGTCCAGCGGCGTTATCAGACCTACGAAGCGGACGTCTGAAGTCACGGTTAGCGGCTTTGAGGATGATTGACACAAAACGGAGGACTTTCCTTTTCTTATTGATGCTTATTTTGTTCTGCACAACTATTGTGAAGTCCACACACATAAACTATAAAGGAACAAAAGCAGTAAACGCTCTCCAGTAGGACAGAGACTTCAGCCTCCAGCAGAGCTACGAGTGAGAACAGACAACGAAACCAGAGGGAACGAGTGAGAGACGTGTGTTGACCACATTTATGGACCATAATCTAGTAAACATTTATGTGTCAGTGTTGATTTATGTGAGAGAGAGACAGAGAGCAAGGCGCACGCAGCGTTGTAGCTACTGTATGTCTGAAAAATAACTTCTAAAACGTTCCACGGAATTTGTCTGTTTGAGTTTAGAGGAAGATTTTAGAGGAAGATCATAAGTACTTTATTACTCTGTCATATTTTTTTAACTAAGCAACCAATCTACTTCCTGTTTACACCGTCCCCATCATGCCCAGTGTACGTGAAGAGTCACGGGATATTCGTTTTCAGGCGTGTTAGTCTGGACGGAGATCATTTAGAAACGATGCTGAGACGCCGTGTGGACGGAGATCGTTTTTGTTTTAAACAAAAACAACGTATTAGTGTGGATGTAGCTTTAGTGTACTCTATTGTGTTTCTTTACTGTACTGTCATGTGTGGGTGTGGTTTCATCTCTCAGCCCCTTGCCTACTCTTCAGCAGGTTACATGTTGTGCAGTGGGTGGACTTAGGCTCAAACCTACAGATGAAGTTACTCTTTAAAGTATACATGGACAAACTCGGGTCATCTCTGTTTGATTCATTTACTATCTCATAATTAGAACTGTGAGTCAGACTTTTGACAGGGCATCTCATAAACTAGTCTTACTGAGACTATTATCATTTCCATCATTCATTAGCTCTCAGTTATTTCTATGACTGCGGCGGAGGTGTATGTGATCAGTGATTTTATATGATGTAAATGCAACAAAATGTCATTTGCTGGGAGCGTGTTCCTTAACCCCCCCCCACCCGTGTGAAGATCCAGTGGTGTGCGTACCCTCCAGCTTCTTCATCGGGGAGAATGGGATCCCCCTGGAAGTCATCGCTGGCAGTGTGTCTGCTGAAGAACTGCTGAAAAGATTCAGCAGAGTTAAGCAGGTACGGCCACAGAGGGTCAGACGGTGAGGTTTGCAGGGAGCTTCACATGTTTGTGTCTAGCTATCCACAGCACCCCAACAAACACACTCATGGCAATGTTGGTTGGTCAGTCCACTGCTTTGGTCCTGACAGAATTATCTCAACATTTAATTTTTTATTTTATTGTTATGTGAATTGCCATGACATTCTCTACAGACATTCGTGGTGCCCAGATAATGACTTTGCCATCGTTCCATTGAAATCTATCCAAACCCTAAACATGAGGCCAGGACTCTAACACCTGAGCCACTGCTAGTGAATCTACTGGATCCATGTGGTGGTCTTTCTGGTGATGATCTTTCTCCCTGCTTGTCTGACAGATGCATGCTCAGCAGATTGGAGGTGGGGCAGTGTTACTAGAGGCAAGCGGTCCTGTGGAGGCCAGCCCACTTGATGGCACAGCTCCAGTCCCAGCTCCAGCAATGCCTGTTCGGTCAGACACAGAATCTGCAGCAGTACCACAAACTGCAAAAGGTGAGTGAGCCTGGATCATATCCAGTAAGTCTGAAAAGGAGAGTTCTGTGCACCTCATTTATCAGGGTACTTTTATAATTGACTGCTTTTAATCAGTTTCCATTTCCAGCATGGGGGAGTTAAAGGCACAGATGTTTTGGCTGTGCCGTCCTCATTGTCAGGTACAGCCGCTGTAGAAGGCAGAGTGAAAAACTAGCTGTCATAGAAGTGGGAGACATGAAATCGTTTCAATATGGAGATACCAGCATACATTTTAAAGACATGGATTAGAGATGCTCCGATGGATTGGCCACCGATCAAAACCGGCTGGTTGTCAGCTGATCTCGCGTGACGGGTGACCTGCCGATCAATCTCATACTACACTACACACAGGTGCTGCATGATGGTTTTACATTGTGAACACAGTGGCACAGACAGTAACGTCACAGACGCACACACACACACATCATGTCGCCTTGTGCTACCATAATGCATTACGTTGGCAGGTGGGTGTGGGTTCATGGCTCTCATAACGGGCCGGGTGGGTTCGGGTATTGACAAAACAGTGTTATGTAAATGACGTAAGGGGTGTTCTATAGATACAGTATGTTGCTGCTGTTTACTTCTGAGAAAGTAAAACATGTTATATAATGGAAGATGTACTGCAATTCATTTTCTTTGTCCAGTAACTTTTACTTTGAGATTTGTTTGAGTGACAGAAGGTCCTGTTCCTGTGATTTAAGAGTGAATGTTGTAATATGAACATACAAATGAATTTAAATGATTCCATGAGAGAGGAGACATGAGCCTGTATTAGTTTGATATATTTGTAATATCACAGCTGAGTGCAGTGCATTAATGTCTTTCATTCTTTTCTTAGTAATGCAGCAGCAGCGTTGGCTGACGTTAGCTGAAGCTAACACTAGCTCTGTGTGTGTTTGTCAGCTGAACGAGCTCGTCTGGCATACTATGTAAAATCTTTGTTTTGGTTTCAGCACCAATGTGTGGCATAATAGGAACAGAAAAATATGATTAAAACGTTAATCGCAATTAATTGTTGACAATGAATCATCAGCAAAAACGTCCTGATTGTGGAAGCGCTTTCGATGTGTAAATCAATGCAGGATGTGTAGACTTTGATTGCTTTGTGCTAACAAGGTGTGAATAAGGGAGTTAACTCAATTCTCTCCACATAGCATCCCTCTCCAACACAGTAGCTGATAGCAGCCTTCCAGCCACAGTGACTCCTGCAGAGAATGCATCTTCAGATCATGCTGCTGAGAGTGAAGGCAACCTGGAGGCTACGGTGGAAAGGTAGGAGCCACATGCATGTCAAGCTCTCAACATTCTAGACAGAAAATGTGCTTTGTGTTGATGTGTTGGCAGAATACACACAACCCAATACACACACAAGGGTCTGCTGACTGGCTCCGGTAAGCCTGCTGTCTCATTTGCGGTTGCCAGCGTTTCTGTCTCAGCGTACATTAGCTGCTCGAGCTTAACCCAGCTCATTTGCCAGGATACTGAATTTCCTTACAGCTAGTAAGGCTTACTGATCTCTAACTTTCATACTGACCTTATTTCACTCATATTAAAGTTGTCAATATAATGTAAATCTATAAATCTAATTAAACGATGAATAGCTACATCAATCAATGACATTTAACCTGAAGTTCAACCAACCAATCAGCCTGTAGTCCAGTCCAGAGTCGCTTAACTGCTGAGATTGTGATGAATTAAAACAGAAATGAGTCACTGTGAGGAAGGAAGTAGCATTCACACAACCTGTCATCGTTACATTTCTCATGGTTACGTTTCTCATGTTGATGTAGATGTGATGTTTTCTCATGATATTGTCCTGTCAGGTTAACCAAGAAACTGGAGGAGAGGCGAGGACAAAAGAAGAAAGGAGAAGAAGAGGTAAGGAGACAAGATAGTAGTTCATATTATTCATGGATTACACCCCCCCCCCCCCCCCCCATTATTTGAAATATAGTAATATTTGTGATATTTGTTATTGAACAGACACATGATTCCATTCCTCCCAAAGCTGTAAGGAAACTAATTTGTTACCCTCTATCTTCAGTGTTGAGCTGGATGTGTAGCGCTCCCTCAACTCCTCACACTTCATTTTGGTGTTGACCTACACCAGCTAAGCCCTCGCTGGTCTCAGTTACGCAGTCTGTGTCCATCACAGCATCACTGAGGCACATGTGAATATGAAGCAGAGCTTAACTGCTCCTGTTGATTAACATGTGTAACAGTCACTGGTCTCAGAACTGTGTGTACTAGTACATCAACTATGTATAGTACACATTTCTGTCACCTCACCTGAAGACATTTGATGTTTCCTCTCCTGTGAGTCACAGTCTTGTGTCAAAGTCTGTTCTCCTTTCAATTCAATTAAATTTATTTTAGTACAGCCCAAAATCACAAATTCTCAGAGGGTTTTACAGTCTGTACACGTACGACATCCTCTGACCTTTGACCCTCACATCAGAACAGGAAGACCTCTCCCAGAAACCCTTTAACGGGGAGAAAAGAGGAGAGACCTGAGAGGGAGCAACAGAGGAGGATCCTCTATCAGGATGAAGTGTGATAGATGTCATGTGTATAGAATGAACAACAGAACAGAGTTACAACATATTCAATGCATATGACAGAACCACGGCAGGAGGCAAAACCATACATATTAGTAAGAGTGCTACCTTCCTGTAATAACCACATGTCACCACTGCTTAACAAAAGTTACTTTAATGCAAAGAGAATACAAAGAAATAGTGTTTCATTGTTTTTACAAAATAGTCAGTTTACAGGCTTTGTGCCAATGTGTGCACGTTGGGATTCAAACAGGGCCCCTGACCCTCCCGTGTGTTGCCTGTGATTCAGAAGGCGATCAAAGCAGAAGTAGAGCGGCGGAAGATGGGAAAGGACGTGCTGGACCTGAAGAAGAAACAGGAAGGGGACAGGACCAAGCGACTCCTGGATGAAAGGAACAAGGAGAAGGCTGAGGAGAAGGCTGCCAGGGACCGTGTCAAACAGCAGATTGCCTTGGTAAGCTCATCTGTGTCTCATGTCTGCCCTACCTAAAGAGCACAGCTCGCAGGATTAAAGGTGCAAGTGAAGAGCAGTCGTCACGCTACAGCAGGGGTATTCAAGTAAATGTCCAAAAGGTCCAGATTGACAAAATCTCCTCGTACAAAGGTCCAGAACATTACAATAATATCTAACTTGCGCTATTTAGTGCCATATAAAAACTATGATCAATTTCCATAATGGGAAATCGTAGTGAACAGAGTTCAGTCAGCGGGCAGTTTGTCTCAGATGTTCACAGACTGGCCATTATTAAAGACACAAAATATAAAAATACAAAAAGTCTCCAGCTCAATTCAGGGCCTTCTGGCTACTGCTGTTATCAGTAATAGTAAATGGTAAACAGACTGTACTTGTATCGTGCTTTCTGACACTCAAAGCTCTTTAACACGACATGTCATCATCCACCCATTCACACACTGATGACAGGACTACCATGCAAGGTACCACCTGCCCATCAGGACTAACTAACAGTCATACAACATTCACACACAGCAGGCACAGCTATGGGTATTTTTGGGGTTCCGTGTCTTGCCCAAGGACACATTGACTAGAGGAGCTCCTTCAATCCTCTGGCTGAAGGACGAGCCTGCTCTCCACTGAGCCACGGTCACACGTTCAGAAATATTCCACATTTTCTGGGGAAAAACACAAATAAATATATACAGTGGGAACGGAAAGTATTCAGACCCCTTTAAATTTTTCACTCTTTCATTGCAGCCATTTGCTAAAATCAAAAAAGTTCATTTTATTTCTCATTAATGTACACTCAGCACCCCATCTTGACAGAAAAAAACAGAAATGTAGAAATTTTTGCAAATTTATTAAAAAAGAAAAACTGAAATATCACATGGTCATAAGTATTCAGACCCTTTGCTCAGTATTGAGTAGAAGCACCCTTTTGAGCTAGTACAGCCATGAGTCTTCTTGGGAATGATGCAACACGTTTTTCACACCTGGATTTGGGGATCCTCTGCCATTCTTCCTTGCAGATCCTCTCCAGTTCCGTCAGGTTGGATGGTGAACGTTGGTGGACAGCCATTTTCAGGTCTCTCCAGAGATGCTCAATTGGGTTTAGGTCAGGGCTCTGGCTGGGCCAGTCAAGAATGGTCACAGAGTTGTTCCGAAGCCACTCCTTTGTTATTTTAGCTGTGTGCTTAGGGTCATTGTCTTGTTGGAAGGTGAACCTTCGGCCCAGTCTGAGGTCCAGAGCACTCTGGAAGAGGTTTTCTTCCAGGATATCTCTGTACTTGGCCACATTCATCTTTCCTTCAATTGCAACCAGTCGTCCTGTCCCTGCAGCTGAAAAACACCCCCATAGCATGATGCTGCCACCACCATGTTTCACTGTTGGGATTGTATTGGGCAGGTGATGAGCAGTGCCTGGTTTTCTCCACACATACCGCTTAGAATTAACGCCAAAAAGTTCAATCTTGGTCTCATCAGACCAGAGAATCTTATTTCTCATAGTCTGGGAGTCCTTCATGTGTTTTTTGGCAAACTCTATGCGGGCTTTCATATGTCTTGCACTGAGGAGAGGCTTCCGTCGGGCCACTCTGCCATAAAGCCCCGACTGGTGGAGGGCTGCAGTGATAGTTGACTTTGTGGAACTTTCTCCCATCTCCCTACTGCATCTCTGGAGCTCAGCCACAGTGATCTTTGGGTTCTTCTTTACCTCTCTCACCAAGGCTCTTCTTCCACGATTGCTCAGTTTGGCTGGACGGCCAGGTCTAGGAAGAGTTCTGGTCGTCCCAAACTTCTTCCATTTAAGGATTATGGAGGCCACTGTGCTCTTAGGAACCTTGAGTG